ATCCCAGGATGGGCGCATCCTGAGGAATAGATCGGTTCACAAACAAATAATAAAAGGGTTTGTGAAGAAATACGCGCACCTACTTTACGTTATCACATTTCCGACAATATCCCTCATATTTTACCACTACGTAGTTTATTCTTTCAAGTCGGCACATTCCCTACACCACGTTCCTTGGTCTCCCGCCTTCCCGCAATAGTGGAAAATTGCTACACATATGGACCTCGCCAATACTTGTGTTGGAGCCTAGTTTCCACAATTGCAACCTAACTACTTTCGAAGTAGTTTTTCCTGAAAGAATTTTGCAAGAGACAAATGCAACGAGATGCCCTGAAATTAATGACATCTTGTCAACGATACTTATCGATGAATTCCTCCGGATAGCCGTTTCTAAGAAACACCTTATTCAGGAAACTGGGCTGGTCATCAATTTTTTTCAAAAGAAGAGATTACAGTGGCTCTATTTTACATGCGAAAAACCAAGTTCCGTCTTCTCTGGATTGGAACGAACCTGAGGAAGCCCATGTACTGTCTTTTCGAGATGGTTTTCCGATAGATGAACCTCTGAATGGAACTGTCTTATAAGAATATCTAAGAAAGAATAGCTACTGCCCGATCGTAAATTTGATCTTTGCATGCGCCTTGTTCTTAGTCTTAAGTAGTAACTTACTCTCTTTAGGGCTTTCGACTAGGACAATATGTCATCCACGTATGGTCTATGGAATGCATTTTTTGTTCTTTCAATATCTTCATGCAAACAACAAGTAAGCATAGGAAAACAATCTTTGTTTACTTTAACCTCAAATGTTCAACGTATATTTCAATTGTTCAGCGTGGTGGCCAAAGGAATTATCCGCGATAGGCCTGAGAACACGTCTTCAATGACGGGAGGATATAATCGACCGGTAGAAGACACCTTCGACCAAAAGAGTATTTGGTGGGCCTAACTATATATCTCAGCACTAAATAAAAGATGCGTTTTAAGCCGAGGTCTTGGGAACAGCGTATTTTTTTCCTCTGAAATTTCGAACGCAAATAATTTTCCATCGTCAAAAGATGCCACAATACCGCGCTGAGCAATATTTACTAGTTCCTGTCGTCACGCTAACAAACTGCTATTCAAATCTTGCCTTTCCATAGTCATTGCCGCGATTGGCTTCCTTACGCTGATTTGAAACATCAACCGTGAGCGGGGGTTATTAGAAGCTGGACCTATACTGTGTACGATGGACCAACGCTAAATGCTTGTCCGCTCCCTACTTTGGAATTGTCGCTCGTTTAGCCTACTGCCCGCCTTGCAATCCTCGGTCTGGCTAGTTGGTATGCGTCTGTATGGTTTAATACGCCATAAGGATGGTCACGCAACGACTTGTGGAATCTGTGATTATATGTTAGGGCCTTAGGACCTCCCTGGTTGTGGGTCTGTTTGGTTTACCAGTAATTTTCGGATCCTAGAAGAGGACTTAGAGCAGGTGGGGACAGCAGAGAAGATTCTCTCGTTCGTGACGGAGAGACGATATGCAAACACCGAGCACACGATCAGCTTCAGTAATTTCGAAATTATTGGCCAAGAGGACAACTTCGAACCAAGCAAGCACTTTAACGCACGCATGGTATCCATATCTCCTTGTGTGACCCCCTTTAAGGGTATCAGATCATTTTGATAAACCGCAACCGAAGAGGATGGGGAATGTAAGTTCGGTAGCAAGCAGACTTGAGTGGCAATACCAAGGTAAGCAGTGGGGTGATACTTATTGCCAGTCCAAACTTATTTGACAACCTGACCAGGGCAGCTACCTGCAACAGTCGATGCCTTTGGCCAAGACGGTACTGATTACGTCCAGCGGTCACAGCCGCGGAAATATGAACCTTGACCAGTAAACCACCAGCGCTACCGTGGACATTAAAGACTGTGTAGTTACTCCATCTTCAGGTGGTTGTTTGCTCACGAGTTCCCCCGCGGCTCCGCCTCTAACGATCATAATGAGGTCTGCATCTTTCTCCTCCAGATGATAACTACCAACAAACTCGCATAGCGACCTGTTGTCGTCAGGTCTGTTGTGCATCTACTTGGGGACACTTGATTTATTCCGGTGACACAAGTAGGAAAAACTCGGCTGCCTTGATAGCTTCCGAAGACACGATAGAAATTAATCCACTTCGATATGCAACGAGTAGGTCCCCTAACTGGTGGGTGAACGTAAATCAACCATTGTTGATATTCACGATCGCAGCCGACAAGAAAACGAGCTCGTGGCGCAGTAGTTTACCATGTCGGGTAAAACCGTCTTGAGGGGGTCCTTCTTACCTTTGACTTATAATAATAACAACAGCCTACTTTTACATTTTACAGTGGTCCAACTTTCCTTTTTTCGTTAAATTCCGCCAATGTAAGGTCAAATTTCTATCAATTGGCATCAGTTCTATCAAGCTCGTTAAAAAAACTATAAATGGTTTTGATTTAATATACTTTGTTCACTTTCGACACAATTACGTATTCAATCACACTCTTTTACCAAGAGATAAATGTTTAACCACCAATTTCGTAAGACAGTTTGCGGGGGAGTAGATATTTAGGCTGCCCTACAAGACAATCTTACCCAGTGTTGGAGTCCTGATCAACGTGTCGGGCGTTCGAACCTCCTCTTTTCATCTGCCTACACTACTAGCCGCTGTGCGGCCGCTGGTGGAGTTCGAAAGCTAACCTCAGGGTATAAGGGGACGAGTGAGTTCCGTTAGCCGTCAGTGAGTGTCCGCCTACCATTTTACTTATTTCACTTCCTCCTTAGTGCTGGATTTGCAGCCTTATCGCCGAGCCAAGTTAGCAACGCCCTCATTAGGCAGCAAAGTACGTCGAGTGTTTAAGGTGTTCACTTGAAAAGAAGATAACCGAATTGGTGCTGGAAATCCGAACTCATCCAACCTACATTAATATTATACTTTTTAGTGGGCGGCTGGAGAGCTCGACGGCATTAAATGCAGCAGACGACAGTAGCGTTTAAAAAAGGAAGTTATCTTGATAGCAAACGAAGGGGGGGGGAGGACATCACATAGGGGGACACATAGCATGCGAATGTGTTGGCAGTTGAAACATCTACATGGAAATTACTGTACACCGGAGTTTTGCGTTTGGGAGGATATGAAGCATCACAGGCATCGATGTCAGATTGTCTGGCTGGCGTGTTCAATGAGCTCGTCAACAGCCTGAGGACCGAGCAGAGCCCTGGCAACCTCCACAGAGTCTAGCCTGGTCAGTTGGAGACGAAAGAGACCGTCCGGACAGGGTGTGTAGGTGAACCGAGCGTGTCCAGAAGGACGCTGGAGCTTGTGCGAACGAATCAGATGCCTCGATAGCTCTGAACCTAGAAGGGCAAAAAGAAAAGTGTGCGTGTGAATGGGATTCCGAGTCCCTACTTTGTATATTAAAGACTTTAGATGAGTACGATAGAGGGGCAATTTACTGGTCCTTGTAGGCATTCGCATAACAATCATTAGCATAGGCAAATAGCGTGGTACTGGGGGGACAAGAGAGGCGAGGATGACTATTTCTGACCTATGTATAAACCGACGTCAGCCAACTTTCCCCCAACCTCATGTTTGGGAGGGGGTTACGCAAGTTTCGAACCGGAGTTCGCTCTGTTATTGAATGGTGACAGTTTGACCGTTGAGTTCGACACATCCTTCCCCAGCCGCCTTGTAACCAAGGTACAGACATACACAGACGTTACATTATACCACTCGTGATAAGCGAGTACTCATGTTTTGCTACTTTTTCGACTAACCGACAACTGCCGTTTTCACCCGCAAGCACGTAATTGACGTACTTTTTTCTATTTTTCTTGGAATCCATATATTTCCTACCATCTTGTTGCCAATAGGGATTTCGAAGGCGTTCACCTATCTTTCCCTCAATGAGCTGATACTGATACTGACTATGTTCACCACGTGCTTCATGACAGACTGAAACCAAGCGCGATGACTTGCGCGTGTAGTAGTTTTAAGTGACAGTATGGTGATGATTACGAGAGCTGGGGTCCGTGTCGCTGCCCCTATCCTCTTTCTGTTGCGTTAAAATCCTGGACAAGTTTGATCATGGATCAGGGAGCGTGGAAGTACACTTAGGTGCCGATTTTGCCATGCCAGCCGCTTGCACCCGATCTCGCTATCAGTCCTCTTCACTCTGTCTTGACACCGGACGCGAGCGGGCGAAGGAAGAGAGAATGCATTAAATGCTGCGCAAGTGGTAGTAAGTCCAAAGGCTTAACCGCTGACCTACGAGCCCGGTGTCCTTTCAGATGTGGTCGGGTACAGTAGTCGCTAAAGAACACCCAGCATGTCGACATATGCGATAGATTGATACTACTTCGCTAATCGGCATTGACTCAGGTTGTGATTCTGAGTATCGTGTAGTCTATTCTGAAGTGATTTCAGTCGTGATAGGATGCGGGCTTTTTAACGAGCTTCGTTCTGAAAACTAACAAAACGTACGTACTGTAAAAAATAACTACTTAAATAGTATGCCTTTTGGTCATTTTTTTGACTACCTTTATAAATTCAAATATACTTTATGGAAAACATGCACGAAAAATTATGCCTTGTACTTGTTTGATAGCAAAATACGCCTGCTTTAAATTTTATAATCAAAGAAAGGGTAGCTTTCGGTTTTAATAAAGTTGCTAATTATGAGCTTTTTTACAATTGTGAGGTCTTCATTCATAATACATCGTGTCCGCCAATTTATTAATGTTGCTTTTACTAGCATAAAATATGTTCTACATCTATTTCAGTATTTTATGACAACTATGTGACTTCTTCCTCAAACTGTAGGCGAAAACGTACTTTTCCTTAAACAGGACGTACACACTGCACAGTTTTTAAAACCTGAATTCGAGTGTAACGGTCACTAGGTTAGAAATTTATTCGGTAATTGAGCAACTTTTTTCTAAACCGAAAGCTACCCTTTCTTCGAGTATAAAATTTAAAGCAGGCGTGATC